AGACGAAAATGTTGTCACCACCTCGAAAAACAATACTTTGGAGGCTTGCATGAACTGCTTACCATTGAGTGAAAGATAATGCAAATTGAATGATCTTGAGCGCTACTGGGTATGAACATCTAGTACTTAAAGATTCAAGTTTTATTTCTCTACGTAACATTTTGAAGCAGGTAACCGGGCCAGCGACCAATCTGCGCATGCTGAGGATTATCAGGTTTATGGTTATAATTGTTTCTTTCAATTTTAACCATTATCATGCGCTAACATAATCGCCATAATATTTGAAGACCCCACAATGTAGCACAGACCAGAACAGTTGAAGAAATGTGTCAAAAAATGCTCTCAAGCATGCTAATCTTTCGAACAAATATTGTAGTCGCGGCGATTATCTGAAGTATGTACCCAACTGGAAATAACAAGCCGATGACCGTTTGAGATTTCAGCACTAGAGGAGCCTGTTTTTGCTCCGTCTTAGCTATGGTTGGAAAAAAACGAAACATTTTTTCAGAGAGACAACTGCATTTAATTGACTCTTGCTGAGCAATATTCTTTAGTTAGTAAAAGAGATTAATTGAGCTCGAACTCTAGCTCATTTGAAGCCTAAGTCAGTATAGATGCTATAAACAAGTTTGTAGACAAGTAGTAGAACTAGAAAGCCCATCGAAAGAAATTTCTGAGACAGTATGATTATAAGCGCTACTGATGACAGCGTTTACACACTGAACATATATTTGGCTCAGAGGAAGACACATTAACAATGTTATTATAAACTAGTGAACCAGTAATTTAAAGGTGCTATTTGGAAGAGCGTTTGCTTCGGGACCCGCCGCGGCTTCCCGCTTTTGGAAATTTTTTGAATTGAGCTAACGATTTTTTACATATTAGATTTAGGATATCAATGAATTCTTGCCCATAAGTGTAACACGTATGAAAATGAGAAAATAAACAAAAAAGCTACCCAGACCTATTTTTCTGGAGGGTATAGCACGAGAGAGGAAGGCAAACGATGATGGCCTCGTTAATTAAATGGTCCACGACGCACAACCACTAGTTAACAACAGTTGGAAAATAGACATGAGTCTCAAAATGAAGATTCATTAAGTGAGGGACCTTATCTCTTGATAGAAGGTTTTTCTTAGTTAGTGCTTATAATACAAATATCTGAAAGGTGTACAGTATTTCAAAGTGTTTGTGACGTCGCTTATACTTGCTTTTCCTCCATACACATCTCCACAACCAAATCATAAATTTTCAAAGCTTTTAAAGCTTACAATTCAAAAAGAAGTAAAGGCTACTGCATGACGAAGGCGCAGTAGCAGAATTAGTTGAGCGGGCGCGAACTCGACGCGCGCGTATCTTCACCGTTGTAAATCCTGCGCCTTATGCGCTCTGCGACTAATAAAGCCGCGTTCGCGCCCAAGGATATTGTGCCCTCGTCATGCAGCAGCCTTTAGCTTGCAAAATTTTGGTGGTGCTAATACAACATTCTACGAATTACTGGAGTACGGGTTGATCTACGATAATTGTTATCTGTTGCTCAAGCACGAAGTCAAACTGACAAATACGTCGATTTTTTTCGACCATACCATACACACCAATCCTTGATTTCTAGCACTTTTGTGCATAGCCTGCAAGACGATCATTTTTTCGAATTTTCACAGAAATGTTTGGAGACACGCTCATATTGAATAAGCCACACTTTTAATTATTGCGCAGATTTCAATTCTCGCACCAAAAAATTTTAAAAAAAATGTTTTGAAAATACTTAAACAGGCTAGTCAACTAAGACAATATGTCTTTGATATGCATATAAAAGTAGTTTTCTATCACAGATTTTAAAAACTCAAATCCAAACAAAATGAATAAGTCAAATAAAAAAAATCGAAATTCCTAACTGTTCGTAAAGATAAAGACATCCAATCACTGCCAATTTCTTTTAGTTATAAAGGGTAGGTCATAAAACCATGACTAAAAATAAATAAAAAACTGAGTGGGCGTTGTAGAAATTTTAAGGAGCAAAATTTAAAAGATCATTTTTTGGATATTCCTTTTGATCAGTTTTTATCGTTGTCGATTTGAAGAATGTCGATTTAAGCACATGCAAAAAGCGCAAGACGTCCTCTCTCGATTGACCTAATCAAATTTTAATTTTATCAAAACTGAAGAAAGTAACGAATTTTAGAAATATTGGTGCAAAATTTATGCATCAACCTAATAGTACGGAAAATTGGCCTATTGAATCATGATCTAAAGGAGCTATATTTCTACCAATGTGGCTCAGAACTTGCGCGGAAAGTTCTTGTCAAGAAAGTTATTTACCACCAAGAATTAACCACTCTACTTCTTTTAAGGAAAGCTATACCAAAAACTGTCCCACGGATTACTCTAAGACTGAAGGGTTTAAACAAACTGACTTTGATGGACTGTACTGTATATTAACTCACGTCAACGAACACAGTATTATAGTATTTCCCATATTCACTCCTAACTAGAAGAAAACTGGACCTTTTCCCAAAACCACGCGATTCTCGAATAAATCCATCACATTCCGTGGTCTCAAAGTGTGAAATGAACGTTCCCCGATGTCGTTGTCTTGAACTGTGTTGTTTCGGTCTTTTGTTGATCCGTGGTCTCAGGTTTCGGGAGCATTTGTGTGTTCCTCCCTTTATTTCGGACCCCTCCCCGATCCCAGTTTGCGAGGCGCCAGCAACTTCTCCGCGCCGCCGCTGACCACTGACTCGCGCGCTATGCAAATGCTTCTCCTCGCTTTACTACCGCTTATTACAGGTATTTTTATGAGAATTTTCTTGGATTTGTTGGTCTCTGATTGGCCACGGGTTTGGACATATCAGTTATGTTTACCCGGATCTTCGTTACATTTTTACTCAATAGTTGAGCTCATTCAAACGTTTCCTATCGTTTTCCCATCTTTCCGTATGAATATCGATATGTTAAAGTGCCCAAGTTAATCAGCTTTTGGTATTTTATAGATGCCTCGTATTCGGTTGATGAACTTAATAGCCGAATAATGCAATCCATTATGCCTAGTTTCCAAGAAACTTGAGAAGAATTTTTCTTTTACAGCGGCATTAACTCTCAAACCAGTATCTCACCAAGATTGGTGAGATACTGGTCTGAGAGATCTTACCTTTAAGACTGGAATTTTTCCAAGACAATCAAATTTTTGATGTGGGGGTGTTTCGGTGATCAGTTTGTATACTTTGGGGCTAGGGCTTCATATGCGGCTTATAAGTATCGTTTTTGGAACAAAAAGCAAAGGAGATATCGTTTTTGTGGTTGAAAAAACACAACTTACGTCTTTTGCTCGACGTTTCTGTTTTTTAAGTTTGGGGTTTAGGGCCAAAGGAGACTTCGAATTATTTTACGGAAGTCAGTTAGAACTTTGTTTTTTTTGCATTTTCAGAAAGCCCCCTCGTGCCGAGCCCTATTTGGGCTACATTCAAATCTTCTTTACAAGTCCTCGTATTGAGTATTATTGCATCTAACATCTAAGGGGATTTTCTAGTACTTAAAATAGCTATGCTTTTCTAGCCGCCCTAAATAAAGCAGCTTCCTTCCTACTCTACTCCTCTTTTTTTCCTAATTTTTATTTCAGGGTCCTTCTTAATACCTCATTTTGTTATGAAACATGCAAATTTGCGTCTGCGTTGCTTCTTCAAGAATTCATCCACCAAAAACAAACTTCTAAGTCACCCCCTTCGCCTTCTTCGGCATTTTTTCTCCTAAAGTACCATCTCCAATATGTCCTATTAATGCAATACTTGGCAACAGATTATTGACTCTTATAGGTGTCTAAAGAGTTTCACGATGATTGTGTAGTCGCATAAGGAACACCAGAAATGCACCAGAAATTTTTGAAAATTATTTATTGCAAAAATTCTTAACATATACATCAATTATTTTGATGTACACAGTGTATCTTGTATTGTATATATCAAAAATTTATTTCTAATGAATCAAAGAGTAAATCTCAAAGTCTTTTGCTTTTGTAGAGATATTCGTTCAGCGCAAATTATTTCTGCTCAAATGGGGACAGACAGTTATAAACAATTACATCTTAGCGATCTTTAGAAAATACCTCGGCTTTCATCAACTTATACCTGCCAATAATAATTTTTGCTTCTGGCATCGATGGAAAGCAGACTTTTTTTCTGCAAAATTTCTTGAACCAAAATAGTTTTCGAAGGTGGGAGAGAAAACAATTTTCCAAAAAGTGCGTTAATTAAACTTCATAGGTTTGGAAAATTTAAGAATGGCATACTACTGGTCCAAATAGTAGTATGCCATTCTTAAATTTTATGTTTTTCTTCGCGAAAATTGTGATGAAACTCCTAACAAACGCAATTAGTCGTTTCGTAGACTAATGAACCAGTAAATGAAGATACCAGATTGTATCTGCGCGCTTCGGGACCGCACCGCGTTTCCAGCTATTTGCAGATTTTTAAATTGAGCTAACGGTTCTTTATATATTAGATTAGATAAATAGATAACAATAAGAAGTCACCAATTCATATTAGTATTTCGTAATTTGCAATTTTATGCTTACTTCTTTATATTCTATTTTTTCGCAGCTAAGTCCTCATCTTTGATGTTGTACTTCGCTAATTTCTAAGCTTCCTTGGGAACTACTGATGGGGGCACCAAGGAAGCTGCACTACCGGTATAGTTCTAAGCCCTCAAAACGGGTAGTGTAAAAACGTACAAAAAAGCATTGGAGTTCGGGGATAGTCTTGGCTAGATTTCATCAGATATCTTTTACTACCAAAAAACGCAAAGTTTATCGCTATAATGAGACTAATTGCAGCGTTTAATATGACCAAGAAGCATGTGGCTCTCGAAACCACGCACGAACTCATGTGAGGATATCAATATTTGCATTGGTTTCGATTTTGGGGTACTTCACAAACAAGCGCGACTCGCCCTCGTAATCAATCGGGGAAAAAAATTTGGGGGAAAAAACTTGCCCGTCTGGGTACGGAATGAAAGCATTATCACGAACTCGAGCACAGTTCGAGCACATCAAATTGCAAAAAACTGGTAAGCGCGCTGTCGATGTGAGTAAATAAAGTTTCGTAGTGGAGTGGAACTGACCCAGAGTATACAATAGTCATCGAGTGAGAGAGTTCGATGCAAAAATAAGCAGATCGTAGCAGCTATGCAAAAAGTGGTTTGCGAGCAGAAAGGAATGCAGTTGAATGGGTCGATTTTGTGTCTTTTGTAGGATAGAATAAGTTACAGAAAAGTTGTAAAGTTTTTAATCTTCGAAGTTGAGTCCCAATCCTTTCTTGACTTAGCAACACAAGAATGTAAAAATTAACAGACTTTTTTCTTTCTTAGGATCTCCCTTCACTAGGCGAGCTTCATTTTTTCATACCGTGAACTTACTATAAGATCAATGGTACCCACAAAGAGGGCTAGGCCGATCTCCAGTTGAATAGTTTTGTTTCGAAGTTAAGTCTGTAACTTTCTTTATCATGGAAGGAATCAATGCATATATTTTTAATTCATCACTCCTGCACATCACCAAAATACTTGCAGTATTTTTTGCATAATATCAAAGCCCCATTCCCTGTGAGGTTTTTGGTATTACCCTAATTTCAGCGTATAAGGCGCACTTTTTCGAATTTTCAAGCGAGCCGCTCAGCCGCTTCAATGTATTCCGGAAAGAAATCCTTACGGCACGATTCTCTCAAGCAATGTACAGCACGTTATAGGGTGCTTTGGTTGTAAAGTCCTTTGGCTTGTCTGGGCTGGTCGATTTTGGAAAAAAAAAAACCCGCGCCTTATACACGTGAAATGGGGTAATTATTTATTTACCGTTTTTGATAATAATTAGTTTTATTTATTTATTTACTATCGGGTGTTTAACATATTTTTCAAGTTTAGATCCAGTAATTTGAATTATTACAAAACAAGTGTGCAAATATAGGAAACTTCTGCTGCGAATATGATTTTCCAAACGCTTTTTCAATTTTTGTCCATGAAACTTTTGTAAAATTTCGATGTTTTTGGGCCGATTTCTACAAAATTATAGCGTTCTTTTTTTCAAAACATGAAAAGCTTCAACTGTTTATTTTTCCATATCCGCTTTTTTATTACTATGAGGGCTCTGATATTTTTTGCATATTGATCAAAACCTGAATTCATTATCAGCCGTTTAGGGTATTTGTGGAATAAAAAATTATTGATAGGAAGCACTCAATTTTTGCAAACTTATTGTTAGTACTCATTCTTACTTTTTGTACCACTTTTCCTTGTATTATCTAGAAGATCAGATATTTCAACATATCCACCTTGCGTGAATCGGACCTTGGTATTTTTGGGCATCCTTAGATTTTTGGCTATATTTCTGGTCAGGGAAGTATCATGATAGTATGAAGTGGGTACTTGAGAAATGGATGCAAGCACTGCAATGGAATTTTGTAAACAAGTCTTTGAGCTGCTTTTGAAAGTGCAAGTGGCTCAAAGAGTAGAGAAGGGGATCGACCGAACCGATTGCTCGCAATTGCCGCGGAAACGGGAAAAACTCATTCCTGAATTTCAGAGGCAAAAAAGGGAAGAAAATCCAGCAATATACGTTTTTTCTGTCTTTAGAAAACTTCGGTAGTAAATGTTTCTAATAATCCTGTAAATTTTGTATTGTTTTTTTTTTTGAAAATCAGTCGCATTCCGAATCACGGAATCAATGATTACAAAACGAATCATGATACTGTAACGTCTACACTATCAAGAAAAGTAATGCTATTTTAACTGATAATTCAAAAAAATTGTCGATAACTCACATGGAAAACGCTGACCATAAATAAATAGAAGAGTGATGCTTACAAAAGTACAATATCGATATCAGTACTATCGAAATCTTTATCTTGGTCTATTTTTATCAACAAAATTATGAACTGTATTTTTTTGATTTTCAGACGGATGGGCCGATCCATCGTGGAATGCGCCACAAACGTACTCGTACCAGTCTCCTCCAGTTCAAGATCCATTCGTTTTTCATACGTACAACTCACATCAGCCGACTACTATTCCCTACCAACAGCAGCCATTCACATTCGATTTCTCACATCTTTTCCCGGATGAGGCAGCAGCGAGAGCTACCGCATCGGCTTACGCGACTGCTGCGCAATTCGCGCAGCAGTACAAGGCACAAGTCGCGACCGCTCCGCCCGTAAATCCCCAAGTGGACCAGGCAAATTTTGAGAGATACAGCCAATACTTGGATATATTGAAAAATGCTTATGGTATACAGCTCCCGGGTGAACTCAAACCCGCCAAGGAGGTTCAGCCTCAGTATCAGTTGTCATCGTTCCCGACAGCGGCAGCGACAACGTATCAAGCCGGCTCAAGTCCTTTTGTGACCACAGCGCCGTCGACGCAGGCGGTTGCGGAGCATACAGTCTATACTGCGGCTACCGTGAAGCCACAATCGCTGTATCATGTCTATCAAACTCCGCAAGTTTCCGTCTCATTCCAGCAACCGGTCTCTTATAAAAATGCAGTTCAAATCACTCAGCAACAAACTGCCGCAACTCCCCAGGTGATTTATCCGGATGCTCAAAGTTACGCCCAGGCTCAGCAATTGCAGCAGCAACAGCAGCAACAGCAACATGAGCAACAGCAGCAACAATTGCAATTAGAACAGCAGCAGCGAGTACAAGTGGAGCAACAGCAGCAACATAACCTGCAATTTCAACAACTACAGCAGCAACAGCAACAACAGCAGTACCAACAGCAGCAACAACATCAGCAACAGCAGCAGCAACAACAACTAGAGCAACAGCACCAGCACCAGCAGTTACTACAGCAATTACAACAGCAGCAACAGAACATGCAACAGAACTTGCAACAGCAACAAAACTTGCAACAGCAACAGCAGCACGTAGATTATCCAGTCACAGCACAACAGACTTACGGCTCCATTTACACCCCTCCCACAATGGCTCCACTTTCTACCACCCATTCCTACGAGACAGCTCCGCAACCTACCTATGCCTTCCCACCTCCACAACAGCCACAGCAGCAACAGTACCCACAGAACGTACAGTACCCCAATCCAGTCCCGCAACCGAATCCGACGCTTCTACCGCCACAATCAGCGCATCAAACTCCTTTCCCTCAACCGGGACCGATGCAACCTCAGCAACCCCAAGTGCCACCACAGACGGCTTCTCCACAGGTTCCGAACCATTCTGGGGAAAATTATGCTCAGCAGGTGGGAGTTCTTACACAGATTTGCGTGAGTGAAAATCCCCGCATGTGTTCAGGGTGGTCTCCATACTCCTACCTATCAAACTGCTGCCTTTTCCACTTATGATGGACAACCAGCGCGTCCAAAACCAACGGTGTGTAGTATATATTTGAACAAATTCGGAGCTATGCCTGAACCCACAGTGATACAAAAATTTTCTTCCCTCATCGCATGAATTTTTATTTTTCAAGGCATTAATTTGCTACTTTCATCTGTATCCGACAGCTGTGCTTGCATATTTGCGAGCCTCTGTTTTTTTATCTGAAGCTCGTGAGCTGGTAATCTAAATTTGCTAGATTTGCAAGCGCGTTCGCTGCGGGAGCCGCGCTTATTCCCGCAATTTTACCTGTTTTGAATAGGCACAACGATTCTTTATACATAGATACGAAAATGAGATTCTCTTTTCAGGTCTACGCTTATGCAGGACCAGGTCAAACAGTGAAGCCTACTTACAGGTAGTTTTTTTCAGAGATTTTCATTACTATTTATAGTACCACCTCCGCGAACTTCATATGAATTGTATTTTTATTTTTCCATTTCTCAAAACAATGGCGTGAGGGCAATGCTAAATCGTTTCGGAAACCGAATCTGTTTATGGTCGTTTGGAAAATTTCAATTACGCCTCTACCCAAGCAACGATACATAAGACTCGTTCGTGTGGGAAAAAACTCATGCCCATTACCGTATAGGATGCTGAGTCTGGTAAGAATACGGTACTGGGCGAGGGTAAAAAACTGATTGCGCGGATAGGTTAGGAACCTCCAATCTTATTTCAACGCCGATCAAGTAAGTGTAGCATCCAAAATATTCAAATTGATTTTTATAAAAGCAACGATTCACTTAACTAAAGTCAAACTTTTGGTCATTATTGATTTTCAAATTTTCGATGTTTCATTCTTGTTTCGTTCGATTTATGCTTAAAAGTATTATATTCCAGCACATTTCATTCTGTCTTCATCAACTGATTTGACGAATTTATTTTGAGATCCAGTCCAGAAATAGATCTCTACAGAATTCTCCTGCATTAGCTAGGGACGGATTGCATACTTTTACTTAAAAAAACTGGAAACTCGTCCGAAGACAAAAACAATGGATTCAAAGCAGCCTTATTTACCTAACATATTGTGTAAACCTGGTAGCAAATCTGTTTACAGCACAAACCTTGCGTCGCAGTATGCCGGTTCAGCTGAGCAAAATGGAGTTGAGGCGAACTTGGTGGCCGAACAAGAAACTGTCGGAAGTGTTTACGGTGGAGAGGTAAGTGTCGGTTTACAAACCTTCCTCAAAAGCTGAAAACTCGTCCATTTAGAATCCGATGGAACCGACACTCTATACTCCTCACACTCTTCCACAACAGACAAATCCACCAACGCTGTCTCCGACTCCACCAACAACACGTCCTACGCCCTCAAGGCCTAAGACAACTCGTCCTCGACCTACCGTATCACCTACAGCGCCACCAGCAAGGCCTTCGCCAAACACGAACAAAAATACAGAAATGGCCGTTTCTGTGCAAGCGCTCACAAAACAGGTATGCGCCAAGGGAATTTTTGAGGTTGGGGGGGGGGGGAGGTCAATTTTTTATGGGTGATGTAATCTGGCTAGAGTCATGAGCTGGACATATGTTCGCAGCGGGTGTCTCTCTGTATTGTTATCGTTGCGGGTGTGGATTGCGTCAACGATTAGCACTAGGGTGGTTGTTATCTAAGGATCGGGATTAACTCCCGGTCAGGCAGGTGCATTTTGGGGAAATAGAGCCAGCACAAACTCCCACTGGAAATTTCTTGCAAAAAAGTACAGGAATTTCATTGCAACGCAAAGACTGGACGCCGTTGTAACTTCTACTAAGATAGTACGTATAAGGGAGAGACAGCAGACGGTCAGAGTAATGAAAGTGCGCTTAATTTGAGAGACGCAGACAAGGTCTGCAGTGGCGTCCTATGTCTGCATGCAATAAATCGCCTATTAGCCTCAGATCTCCGTTGATCCTCATTGCAATCCGTCTTTTTCCTCATTTTCTCGAGGGAACGGTAAACAATTGAGCTGAATCATGGCCCGAAATGTTTTCTAGCGCTAAAGACAGTGCACGAGCAGCGTTTCCACCCCGACGATAATCTTGTGTGCTAATCTTTCCACGGACAGGTGTCCGATGAGGGCGCTGCACTCACGAGTTTCGAAAATTACGCAACATTCGGGATTGACTCGAGCTAATGGGATCTGTGCTTGGGAAAAACGAAGAGGGAAGAGGATGAGCTCTTGTTGTGAAGGATATTGGTAAATATTTGGGGCATTGGAGTATTGCATTTTTCAAACGGATGTACGTTATTCAGACCACTCAAAAATCAATGAATTTGTCAATAAGCGTTTGAATGTGATTTGAAGAAAAGACTAAAATTTCAATTAACCAGTCACGAACTGCACATTGGCAGGTTATTTTCACTAGAATATTTTCGGAAAAAATCTCATTCACGATTTCTCGGTTTTTTGTCGCACTACATTTCATGCTGCTTGATTTTGACTGAAATGAATTTTGCTGTGTAAAATTGCACAGCAATTCAAAGGCCACAAGTTCACAATGTAGTCAAAAAATTTTGAAAATTTAAATTAAATTCAAATTCAAAAATTTAAATTTATTTTATCCTCACGATTGCAGAGAAGGGACAATAGATAATGGTAGCTAGTCTCATCATAAGGAAATGTTTTAGTTGAGATTTTTGCTTAGAACTGTGCAATCAATAATTGGTCCAACTTTCATTTTTGTATAACAGCTCTACTCTTGAAAGTTAACCATAAAAAGACAGGAGACACAAAAAACGGAATTCTTTGGGAAATGAATGACCGACAAAAAGAATGAAAAAAAACAAATGAAAACAATGCCAAAGACTATTCACAGATTACGCCATTATAGAAAAAGGCAATGCATTATTAGTTAATTGCATACATTAGGTGGGTCCGAAAATTCTGTCGTTTCATTTTCAAAAATTTGTAACTTCGCGAAATTTCAACGGATTTGCTTGCTTGTAATTTTATTAGAAAGAATAAGTCTTTCGCTTTCAAATGCTGTCCCGTGGAGCTTCTGTTTCACATTGGGTGCGGAGATAAAAATAGAAAACTAAGACCATATAAACTTTGACCATTTTAAGTTAGGTCACCAAAAATTTGGAATGCTGCAGAAAAATCTGAAATCGTCAGTACGTTTGTTTTTTGACCTTTTTTTTGCAGCTGTGAAGAGTTTGTGCTGTTTGGACGTCTCTGTGAGAAGTTATGAATATCGAGTTTGCTATAGAAAACGCCAAAATTAATTAATTTGTCAATTTTCGCGAAAATCATAACTTTTCACAGAGACGTCCAAATAGCACAAACTCTTCATAGCTGCAAAGAGGAGGCGAAAAAACATATGTACTGACGATTTCAGATTTTTCTGCAGCATTCCAGATTTTTGGTGACACCTAACTTAAAATGGTCAATGTTTACATGGTCTTAGTTTTCCATTTTTATCTCTGCACACAGTGTGAAACAGAAGCTCCACAAAACAATGACTGAAAGCGAAAGACCTAATCTTTCTAAAGAAATTACATGCAAGCAAATCCGTTGAAATTTCGCGAAGTTACAAATTTCTAAAAATGAAACGACAGAACTTTCGGACCCACCTAATATTTACTTTGTCTGTGAAGCAAATGGTGGGATTATCTTTTTTTCACGCATCTTTCTTCAAAGCAAGATCGAATAAACAAAAAAGATTCATTATTTTTAGAAGATTGCGCGAAAGCAAACAAATTCAGAATAAATAGATAAATAAATTCAGATAACTTCCAAGTTCCGTTTTCATAAAACCTGGGCATGTTCGTATCTTGTAATTACTTCTGTGCCATACAGGTTTGGTAGGTGGTCTTTATTCCAATCACACGGCCTGAAGGCGTCGAAACGTTGGGCCGTGTGATTGGAATAAAGACCACCTACTAAATTCAGATATTTGTCCAAATAATCAAAATGTTCCAAAGTTTAACAAAAAAATTTTTCCTTCAGATTCGTCGATTACCCGCTGTGCTTTATCTAGACTCTCGAAAAGACGGTAGTGCTGAGTTGGAAAACATGCTTAGGGAGACCTACGGTCTACCACTTGTAGCATTCTACGTGGATAAGGTAAATAACATCTATTTTTTATGAGAAAATAAACGGCAACGATATTTTAGATTGGTAAGCCACAATTAGCGCAGAAGAATCTACAACATCTAACAGCTCATAAAGGTCTACCGTATCTCTTCATCTGCGGCACATTCATAGGAAGTTGGTCATATACGGAATTTCATACTTTTTATTCACAAAACTAAATTTTCTACTTTCAGGCGCAGAACATATCGAAAACTATCATAAGAATGGTCAGATCCCACAATTAGTCGAATATGTCTGCGGAGATGAACGAAAAAAGAACAAATCGAAGAAAACGTCCTCTTAAGCTAACATTTTTAAGTCGTACTTAATATTTATTGTATTTATTTCAAGACTCAGTTTTGAATAGATTTTTATAGCTTTTATATTTTCATTTGCTGTCCAATTTCTGCTCCATTCATTTTCGTGTAGATTCTGCTAGTCCCACATGGCCAATTCCTAGGTTATGTGCAGAAATTCCACTGCCAAGTTGTGTCTTTCGCTCTCGTCTTTCGTTTCTCAACTTTTCGGGCAGTTGAATGAATAATATTTGCTTGTTCCTGTCCATGACCGGGGAAGGGTAGCGAAGGTCTTCGCGCGCCGTCATCCCACTGTTCCTCTCGTAATCCCTGCGCGGAGCAGGTGTCAACAACGAGAATTCCGTGCTTTGTATGAGCTCATTTCTCGCTGCGAGGAATGGAATGTATGAGACAGGTTTTGAAAGCTTCAAAACAGGACCTTGACTATTTCCATGAGTCCGTTGGGGTCAAGGAATCGTGTTATGTGACGAGAATGCAACAAGCCTGAGAAAAGTTGGTCAACTGACATGCACCTAGCATCACCAGAAATAACTTAGATCGGATTTTGGAAGAAGACTTTCAAAGCTGTCAGACACTCATCGAGAGAAACTCTCGTATATATCACTGAGAAATTTGTTGGGAAACAGAATGAATCATGATTCTATGGCTTAAGAGAGAAGAGATTGTATGAAATTAATTTGCCTAACATGGTGCAATCTAAATTTTCCATTCACAATGATTTTGCCTCTGATGGGAAGTTAGTGAAAACACCGTCATTGATGACTGGATCTTACTTTGGAGAAATCTCCTCTTCAACCTTCCACGATTATAGCAGGACCTCTTGTGGCGTACCCATAACTAGGGCTCGCAAATCTAGAATCCATGGAGTTCGTTCCATATGGCAAAATAAGTTAGGTGGATATATAGGCTTTGTCCAGACCACCTTTAGCATGACAACGTCGGAAACCACAACTAAAAAATTCGGAAATCATAACTATTCCTAAAAACGTCCGAGCACTACGAGCTTCTCGTGATAAGGGTCGGTCATGAATCTCAGACCATAATTAATTTCAGATTCAAATGGTTTACAAAAATACGATTATAAGCGTACGATCTGGTAGTTTCTTACCATTTGTAGGGGTCATACATCCCAGTAATCCGATCTCATGATTTAAGAGTAAATCTAAACTGCTGCTCTGACTAAATCAAATGAAAAAATTATAATGAGTCACCTTGAAAGTGTGAAATCTTCATAGTTGAGGATCACCGTTCGGACGAACATTTTTGTTTTAAAACGACGATCATGCACCATCCGATGGACACAGTAAATTTGGTTAGATATACAGTACTCTTCACGGTTTGTAGCAAAGCGCCAATCAACAATAAAAATTTCCACTTGCTTTTCAACAATGAGGGGGAGTCGCTTAGCCTGAGTTTTGATGGAAGGTGCAATAATTCGAGATTGCGGGAATGGGACAATAAAACGATTAAATTAAACGGAAATAAAAATGATAGTAACCTCTTTCGTACTGATTCAAGTACTATTAAATGTGGCCAGAGTCTTATACATTTGGAAATTATCTCGAATTACGTTGCACTATTGCAGAATCGAAATTTTCCGTCCGTGTACGTTGAATTTGGAGGAATTTTTCAAAAAATGCGAATATTTGAAAAACGTTGGCTTCCATTATAAATTCAGAACAATTGTCCAGATGAGAACAGTTGATTTGAGTGGCTGTGACTGATGAACTCTTGAGAAATGGCACCTGAAGAATACATCTTTCTCGACAATTTTTTGGCAAATTGTCAAGAGCTCCCATCTAAAGAGTCTTTGCCGGAAGAATCGAGAATGAAATTTTGCGATCAACGAAAACCCTAAATAATCCACATTGGCGGTAAATCAAGGTCGCTGTCGGTGCCGATTCTCCTTAGCAATCGGCAAGCACCATAAAAATGAATGCGACTTGCGCCACGGGATATCGCACCATATCTCAGCTGATAATGAGGGTGCAAATGAGAAAGTCGGGTGTCACAAAGCCGTTGTGGGCCCCTTTGCTCTCTTTCTGGACGAGGGGAGGGGGAAGAAGACGATGAATGGACAATTGAAATTTTGCGGTATACTTTGTAACATTAGGATTGCACGGAATATATTTTAATACACAAAAAAATCAATACAAACATTTGGAACTCAGAACCAGGCACATTTGGACATTTTTCGAGGTTAACGGCGACACATCTTAAAAACCAACAGCGCAAACGATACTCGTAGTCGTTAAATTAACATATTAGGGATACTGTAACGTCGTAGATTACGGTAAGTGAGAATTACTTTTGGCAGCGGCGATGAGAAGAAAGAGCTATGGATTCGAAATGAGATTAGATAGTATTAGTCCTGTTTAGCACCAGTAAGGCAAGTTATACAGAAACAGCTTTGCCCAAATGCTTTCACACAGGGAGTTTGTCCCATTGGAGCCATACCAAAAGGTATGGGAGCTGGAGCTATGGTAAAAGTCGTGGAAGATGGGAGCGGAGTGACGATATGGTCCACACCACGAAGAGCAGCCAGTTGTTTTTGGAGCTCATGATTTCGAATTGTTAGTTGGCGAATCCTAAAAACAATTTTTGACAAGAAAATCTAAACAAAAAAAATCGATAAAGTTCTTACCAATTACTTGCCAGCAGCAAAGTATTGATTTTGCTCATTTTTCTAGATGAAGCATCTTGAGAATACGGTAAACAACTTCGTAACTCTTCCAAGGCTTCGTTCAAATCGTGCATTCTTTTACGTTCCCTCGAGTTTATCGATGTCCGCATAATGTTTTGCTCCTGCAATGAGCTATCATCTGGCTGGAATTTATTTATTCTAAAGAGACATACGGAGGCAAGAAATAAAAAGAAGTTTAATGTAATTGTGACCCTTACCTCCTCATTAAGAGCTTGTAATCGTCGCCGTGGTTCGCTGTCAGATCTTTGCTTGCGAACGTAGGGTTCAATTTCATCGTCAGTCAGAATGGAACGCTAAAGAAGGAAAAGTAATTCATAACAGCCAAATTTCACATGAATAACAGAGTCAAAAAGCCCCTCTAATTTTGCCAGGAAATCACACTAACAAAATTCAATTTTAGTCACACCTACACTTAGGGGAGTAATTATGTGTAGGGCATTTTTTGTTAAAAGATCATACACTAATCTAATTGCCGTTTGCAAACTTCTCTATAACTGCAAAGGTACGAAGCATTCAAGTCTAGAAATTTTGCCATATAAATTTTCTGAGCACTTTTTGCCTCGTAAAAAATATGTTTGATACAAACAGAACTAATGTGACTAAAGGGGCGAAGTTACCACAGCTGAACGTTTTCAAAACGCACTCGAAGCTTTGTAAAAATCTGCAGATGAAATAAAGAACGGCTCAAGTTTTGTGATCCCAGGCAAGCTTGAAAGAAGATGCGCTTCAGGATACAATCAGTTACCAAAACAACGACCAGGTTTACTGGTACAACTTGTTTAGCTAAGGAGTTTGGAAATTTTCTTTAGTTCTGAGGAACCGAATGATGGTAATAGATGTAAAGCAAACATCACATCCTTTGCTCATTGCTCACATTTCGTCAAGGAAATGAACAAGTCAATTAAAAATTAGAGATATCAGCTTAATCAATGTCTGTGATGTCAAAAAGAGATTTAATTTTTAGACAGATAGCAAAATAATTCCTACTGTACTTTGAATGCTTTCAGAGCGTAGCAAGGAGACGATGAAAACTGCTAGCTAAATCTGACTTGACCAAGCTTACCAATACTCCAATTTCAATGATTCTCCTTAAGAGCTATCAAATTCTTGGGAAATAAGTGTTATGTTAAGGAAGTACATTTCTGACAAAAAGAATGAATTGGACGGTCGTGACGTGAATAAATGTTAAATTAGGGCATTTCTCGAAACTACGCACTTTGAAGAATTTTAAAATTTTTATCATTTAAGTAATAAACATACCGGTCTCGGATTAGGAGAGGGCGTGGACATGACCACTGCGAACACTCTGCCGAGTAAATTACAGTGTCCAAGAGGCGTGGCGACCACGCCTCCAGTGGCATGATTGGTCGAGACCATGACTTTACAGGATTACGGGATGGATAGCGCATTACTACCAGCTGTTCTCCCATGAAGGGAGGCAAAGGAATCGGACACAAATCCATTTTTGATGTTTTGTAAAAGGATGAGAAAGAAGACTTGGCAGCGCTTGTGAAAAGGATTCCCAATTCAGTGCAAGTTACATGACTATATATCCTTTCACCAATCACATACTTTCAATCAGGTTACAATAGCTATTGCCAGGTAAATCTTTCGGGGGTAGCACTTTCAATGTTAGAAACAGTTCGTTTTATATGATTGGAGCAATTAACGTAGTGTTTGCAATTTGACTACAAATAAGGAAATCTTAACATTGACTTGTGCATAGCAAAAAAATTGATGATCGAACCCTCTCTTCATTTTGAAGTAGACGTTTCTGAATTCCAGTTTCTCCTGCTCATAGTCATGACCAGCATAGCATACGAACAAAACATCTCAACTTCTCCCCTTTCTGACCTTCTTAGTGAGCTTGCTCACCTGCTTATTTTACATTACGACAAAAGAGATTCACGACTGGTATGGATTTATGTATGTTTGATCTCTAGCACAACTCTGTGCCAGAGATCAAACAATGATCAAGAGTCCCATATTTGTCCTTCTATGATCACTTATCTATTCTCCTGAAAAGACGCATGCTGTGAAAATTCTAACTGATCCCTCGTTACAAAATTGGTCTGCTTTCAATATCTATAACTAAGAGGTGTACGGGTAGTAACGTTAGTAGCAATTGTTCAAATAGCTGTCAGATTGCTCTGAATATGGACATTTGATTCTGAAATAGCTCCAGAAAAGACCGAGAACTTCGATTTCCCTGCTTGCCGTAGAAACTTCACATCTCATTTGAAAAAGTCGTAGAATTTGTGTATCTCTAGCAATAAGCACTCATTCGATCAACCATCAGTCTAAACACAGGTTAGCACAAAAGGTCCAAGAAGGTCGGTTGACTATGCAAGCCATCATTTCACCATGTGTCCCGCTGAGTGTCAAATGTTAATGAGGTACCTGACGTTAGCAAAGATGACGGGTCATTTATACACATGGAACCGAACTGAACATCATATTGTTATACGAGTAATGTATTCAAAATATTTATACAAAAAAATCTAGTAATCACATGATAACATTTTTCACTCGGGATAGCTATTATTGAGAAAAATGACTATATTATCTTAAACCTGTTCGATACACGCTTAAATAGCAGCTTAAAGGTAGTAAAAAATTAGATATCCTCCAATTTCACTATTTGATGAGCATCTGGGTATTTAGGTAAACGCAAATTGTGCTCCTCCGCCAATCGCTTTGGCACGAATCGACCACCAACCTACAAATAAAAAATTAACAAAATGTTATGAGAAAGAGACTGCACACTAACGAAATGAGGTCCTGTCCAATCTTTTACACACAGTTTGGGAGCTGTAAGGGAAATGATGCCATGTGGGTGAACATATGAACCTTCTGACGGTGCACCATTCTCAACATCCCAACCTAGAAAAGAAGAAGTCTCTACGAAAAAAAAAATTCATCTGATGTACTACTTTACATAAGCCCACAAATCACTACAATAAGAGAAAAAAGGAGTTTTTGGAATTTGGGCGTAGAACATTTTGCGGAGCAAAAGGGTCCTTTTCATCAAATACAAAATATTTAACAGCTTCTGTGAAGATCTAATTTTGAGTTTCCTGTAAAACTGATGCTAGTTTCTTACACATTAAGCACTTCCCATATATTGGACAATGCCATTGCTGAGATTTTTTCAGAGAAAAATATGGAACAATCAACATATCGTCGAGTTTTGCTACTTGATATGCGTATTGCACATCACACGCGCTACTCTACGACTTGCAAGATCAAAATCTATATATTAGGTTGTCCCGAAAGTTTTGTCGGTTTTTTCATCGCTCACCAAACCTCACAGAACACCAATCCATGGACGGCTTAGGTGTCATTCTATTCATTTTTGTATCCTCTTTCTTATAGCTATATTTGTTCCCTGATCCACCCCGTCTTTACAATGTTATCGCCATGGCTTTTTGAGCATCTCAGCAGTAGCGCCAAGAATTTCTTGAATTTTCAAAATTTTTATTTTGGTATTTTCGATAAGCGCTGGTAACTGTTATGTAGGGCAAACCTTTGGCTACATTGTACCTATTTTAGATTACGTGGGCCACGTTTATAATGTCCGTGATAATTATTTATTTGAGAAAAACCGCGGCTTTTTGAACACGTTTTATCACGTAAAATTACCGAAAATTCCAAAAAGCCGATTTTTGAAGCAAATCGAACTTGGTTATGTTGCATAATTGATGTTAAATAACAAACAAGTTTGAATTCGCAAAAACTCAAAAGCTTTCATGCTTTTGCTGCAATTGCGCGTTTCATGACTTTGCTAAAAACCAAGGCCTTCGAAGAAATAACTTTTTGAAGTTGAAATCAGCAGATTAGGAGAATCTAAAAATATGTGCTTGCAGCCCGAGAGTTGCTCTATGACCCATACTTAGTCTTTTTCGAAGCTTTGTAATGAAATTTTTGAAAATTAGCTCAACTTTGAGCAGGTAAAATTGACAGGTGGAGAATTTTGGCAATTATCAAAAAAAGCATACAAGATTATGGTATGAAAGTGTATCCCTAAGAAAGAGAAGAAAAAGCTGCATCGATTTCACCTTAAAACTCACTCAAATCTTCATTGTGCTTGGTTTTACAGTGGTTTGAAGAAACCGACAAAACTTTCGGGACAACCTAATATTAAATTCCTGGGAATTCCCCTTGTTTTCTTCTTTCTGTTGTTTTGTTTGGATGCTCAGCTAAAAGAGATTTTATCTAAAAGTTACTAGTAAGGTGTCGTCAGTTGCCACGCTCAATGTGCAAGCTCAACAATAATTAAGAAATGATCGCGCGAACGCATCATCCAAAAAAAAAAGGATTATTGGAGTGTATTTCCTACGACAAACAAAATCAACAATTTACTAAAGATCAAACCATTTCAGAAATATCCCACAACTCAGCATTCTCCAGTTATTCCGAAAATACAAGGTCTAAAGCGCTCCTATCTCTTCATAAAAGGTCCTAATCCCACTAATCAAAATCAAGCAGGTAGTTGCTTTCTTGGCAGATCGAAGACTATCCAATTGAGCCCATTCACTCACTTGACCGTCCATTCAAGGACTATCGATACAATTGGATCTGCGTTTCGGTGGCAGACGCACATACTTGTTGCGATTAGCGCATTAATTCGATCACCTTATGCTAACCATAAGGAAACCATGGTCAGTCAGCGTTCTTCCTAACAGACCTACCCCCCCCCCCCATGTTCAAAAAATTGAGGGGAATTGGAGATTTTCTCACCTGAAGGAATATCGATGGCGAATACAAAAATTCCTGATTTTGTCACAGCGTCGATTATTTCACCAAAAGGTTCCCGCAACGGGGGTCGGAAAGAAAATCCAAAAAAGGCATCAACTATCAGGGAAAATTCCGACAGAGTCGGAAGCTTGTCCATCACGGGAATACCTGAATTCACAAGGTGATAAGGATGAATTAGCCTGAAAATTAGTAAATTCCCATAAATGCTGACTCTTTACCCATTCCAGTACACTGTTTCACCAGTGACTGCATTAGATCGGATTTTGATGGCTTGGGGTAGAGGATCGAAGGATCGAATCCCTACAATAACCATTATTTGAAAATTGGAAATAATCAATCAAATAAAGGGCAAAATAGCAAAGATGTGGTGCTTTTCAGCCCTTCCCCCCCCCCCCTCCCCCTGCTTCTAAACTGAGGTAATTTTTACATTATAGACGCATGCAATTCAGATATGTAACCCCTCAAGTATACGTCATATGACAGTGTCATATTTAGACCAATTCCACTGATTTTTGGTCCTCAGTCCCTTTTCGAACGTCATCATCAGGCGGATGCAGATAAACATTTCCATTAGCATGAGTGTTAGTATGTAAATGACATCAGTGACAACTTGATAAGCTCGTTATAACTCGTATGAAATAACTCGTTCAATGCGTCAAATTTGCTTAGTGTTTACATACAGTTTCCTTATACAAATGTTGTTCCTAATTTGGGACACTTCCAAACAAAACTTCTATACGAAATGATCATGCACAAGGGAATTTCAACGATGAATCGAAAACACATGGAAAAATGAAGACCGGTGTAGGGATGGAAAAATCAACACTCTTTGGTTCACATATTTGGACATTACAAAAAAAAATTCAGATTGAAAATTGCATGTGAATTTCTTCCTCTTTCCACTGCTATGCTGAAATAATCGCTGGACATTACAACCCTTTGTCTCTACCATGTCTGGCTTTTGCTAAGTTTCAGAATTTGTATCTGGGACTTTTGAAGAAGCAATAGCCAGCAGGTAAGGCAAACCTGCCAGCTGGGACAATTTTCTTCTTTTTTCAGCTACTCTTTCAGAATTCTGCTACCCTATTTTCAGGTCTATAAGCCGCACCCTTTTTGCTCTAAACGCGAGCAGACCCAGGCGTGCCGCCGCGCGTGTGTCTCGCGAAGCGGTCGCCTTATCGCATACTGCTCTCACTTAACGCGCTCCATAATAACAGTCAGTCTTTTGGCGTGTACGCCTTTATAGCAAAAAGGGTGCGACTTATACACCTGAAAATAGGGTAATTAATTTTCCAGAAGTCATGAATTGTGAAAAATCGCCTAAGCTGTTAATGCACCAAACACTGCGACATCTTCCGAACACTGTGGTTCAACACTCGCTTATTACTATTATTAATTTTACAAATGGACGATTTTCGCTTCAAAATATGCAGATTTCAAAGCGTGCGGTATATCAAACACTGCAATTTTTTTCCTCAAATTTCGCATTTCCAAGAAAAGGTGACTGTTAGGCAGACGAGAAAACGTTGCACCGAATGGCACCTGAACTTTTTATCATTTCATGTTTCACGCTAGAATAGGCCAAACAGAAAAAAAAAATTTTTTTAAAAAAAATATATTTCAGTAATCCTGAAGAACAAGCCAGACTAAAAAAAATGGCCCCCACTTGGCCAAAGATTTGCCCTATCTGCTGGCTACTGAAGTTTCCTCAAAAGTCTCAGATAAAAATTCTGAAATTAGCAAAGAGACATGGTGAAAACAAGGGCTGTGATGTCCAGAGATTATCTCAGCATTCTCTCAACAAATCACATTGTGGACATCGCGGATGGATAGAGGAAGAAATTCTGCATCGGATACAGGCTTGAAGTGTTTGCTTATCATCACTATACAGGATTCGCTGGTCACTTCAAAATCTACAAAACTTTTGAGCCAACCTAAAATTTGCCAAACAAAAGAAAAGGTCAGAATTGAGCTTTGATTCAATCTTAGTACAAAAGAAACGCATTTGTACTAGACAAAATTCAAAAAAAAAAGAAATTTTTTTTCTTGAAGAGACGGCAATGAGAATGGCGCTTGTTCAATGCCCGTTCATGAAAGCACACTTATCTCCATGTTATATGTTCTCAACCTAAGCCAAAAAAAAGGTAACCCACGAACTGTTGGAGATGTCGCGCACACACAAAACCATCGCCTCCATTATTTCCTGGACCACACAGCACCAGTACCTTTCCTAAACTACTAACACACATTTACGCTTTTCGAGCCTTCCATTGCTTTGTGTTATGAATTCGCGATGAACTGCACGACCCGAAAGGTTGTGACGTCAGACCGACGACGCATTAATTTACATTCAAATATGCAGGCATTACTGCAGCATCAAACCACATTGCCGATTATTGCAAGTCACAAAATTTTTAAAAACCCCTATGTAACTTTATTGGGTAAGTACAATGAATACCTTTTGAATACTGTGCATGAACGGCTTTCGCGCAAGCCAGGCCGGCTAACTCCATCAGCTGCTCGACTTTGAAGCCATACGTGGAAAACAATTCCTCGTCAATTTTTGCTGCCTCTTTTTGTCTAAAAATCTAGAGTTAGCGGGATATTTTACAGCAGTGAGGTATTTTTATGAAGAAATGGTGACCGGCCTAGTCAAATTGATCAATAAGTTGAAAAATAAGAAAATGTAGTTTTTTGAAGTTTCCATAACCAGCACTCAAACTATCCGCAATCAGATCAATGATTATGTTGCATGTACATATTCCGGAAAGCTATTTTTCACTTGAAGAAATCTTGACACCTCTAATAACTTGACTTTTCAGAGGAAGAAAGCGCCTATGTAACACTTCTAGATCTTCCTGAATGAAAAACATCAAACTTCAAAGAGATAAACGCCTCATTTTTACTAGCGTAGCGCCTAAAAGCTGTAAAAAGGCAAAAAAAACCCGTGGGCTAATTTTGCTCTTCGAAAGTTCAATTTTTCTGGTGTCAAAGTCCATAAAATCTTGTCTATAACCATACTTGCTGCGCTATTGTGTACAGTAAGCTTCAACCCCCTTTAGGCGAAATTCGATTGGCGAGAGTCCGCGTCCGCAACGGTTCGCGCCGTTTCGCAGCTACAGTACACCCTGTCGTGCTGAGAACCCAAGACTGCGTCTCTTGATTCTACTTACTCATAGCTTGGCAAAATGCCAACGCTATGCGCTCACGAAACCCCTCCAGCGGTGCGCACGCGCTGCTCCACGTAGAACGCCTACTGGGATGAAACCGACTGCATGTATCCGATGAATTAAGTTTCCTCATCCCGAAAATCTCAATGATATTAAATGATATTACACCGACAACGTGCTCATGCATCATACACGTAACTGCATTTTTTCAGCTTCTGCATTTGTCCGGAATCCGATCTTTGGCTCGATGAAGCCTGCCACAAAGTACTGGAGCGTAACATCTCTTTTTTTTCCTTTTTTTTTCTCAAAAAGCCCACCCACTTTCGATATTCTTCTTCCTCAAACGTATAGACTGGGTGTGGCAAAAAACTTCTAATCGTTTTGGAATTTGTCGTCTGGGAATGCAACGATACACACATCTTATCTTTGCTTTTCCTCTTTCTTAAAACTATGCATTTCCATTGAGCGGTCTGTCAGACCATTCACTTCTATGCTAACTACCCGCACCTATATAAATGAAAATTACTGACCTACCGGGACAAGCAAACCATGCAGACCTTTACCTTATAAGTAAAACCTAGCGGTGCAATACTTACGTAAAATTGACCATGGAGCGCCTGTAAATACTTTGCCCCCATGGCCACTTTAGTGCATATAGTGGTACGCACAGAAGACACTTTGTGTGATTGTACCACCTTTGAGGTCTGCAATGGGACCACTGAATGGGTTGTTGACGGTACAGTCACTCTGTTATGGGAAACTAAAGCATAACAACTAAATTAACAAAAATGATTTTTAAAGGGATACGAGTCCCCCACATATTTTCACACTTTCAGTATGTAGGGTATGTAGGGTTTGCGTCTCCCACGCATACAGATAAGCTTACTCATAAGTACACCACAACTGACGCATTCAAGCAGTCCAAAAAACAGCAAAAACGATTATAACAATGATATTTAACTGATAGCGCGATAACTACTCCACAGTTCTTACCAGTTTCAAATGAAGCGACCGTCGCAAGGGCACTAGCAATTTGAATTAGCTTCTCATCCAGATGAGTCGTACTGTTCATTCAAAAATCATGATTGACTAATATTAGTCTCCACTGCGTGATTTCGCAAGGGATAGAGGACTATATGTTGCCGAAATGGGGCGGCCCCGCAGTCGCCTGCAACATACGCACATGCATGTAAGGTAGGTGCCAGAGTAAGCGAATATTTTGTTCAAGTTGGGGTCCCGCGCAGAACTGGCATCACTAATCATTGTGGCATAATGGCAACTTGGCGTTGTGCCACAATGATTAGTAACGCCAGTTCTGCGCGGGACCCCAACTTAAACAAAATTTCGCTTACTCTGGCACCTACCTAGTAGGTGCGCTTTTGCAGGAAGTCCGTGCGGGACCCTCCTACATTCGGCAACATGTCCTTTACCCTATTTGAAAAAGTATAGTTTAGTGGATTTTGCTCAACATAATGCCTCCTACGGTATCGACAACACTCACGATATAATGGTCACTGGAAGCAATTTTTCAGTTTTCGTGCCCGGCCATTTTCTAACAAAGGAACCTTGTTTAGTGGAAGTAGCCTTTTTTAGATGGGACGTGTACCATGTTGGAGAGCACAAAATGCTAATTCCAAAACTACTTTCCTTATCTGCGGGACGTTCATGGACGAGAAATTATGAGAGTTTATAAAAGTAAAAAAGAAAAAATGCATCTAGAACAAAAACCTCCCTACCCCTAAAATAAAGACCAAATACGATATTTTTTTAATCTATGAGTATTTACCTGAATAAAATGCTCTGATAATTGTCACTGTTGTCACTGCTTTACTGAAGCGCTAGGAAAAATATTACGACAATTTCTGTCCTACTTGCGCATGTAATTTTTTGCTTCAATAAAAGCTCATAACTCCTCTCCATAAACTTTTCGCAGATAAGGAAGGCAGATTTGAAATCGCTGTTTCATGCTCTCCAGTATGGTATACATCCCACCTAAAAACCATTTTGATTGAAAACGTTCCCTTTAAGCACAAGTGTTATAAAGCACAATAGTAATCATCATATGCACTCAAGAAGAGTCAAGAGTCTTCTATCAAAATGTGTGTGAGTCCTCAATCAACGATTTCGCTGCAATCAATTACAAAAAATTAAAGTTCTGAAGTTTTACTAGCCCCAGCACAGAATGACACAAAGATATGTGAAGCTATTTTGGTGATAATTTTTGCTGACTTTGTATAGGAAAAATCATAACACTTTATCTAGCCATATAAAATCAAAATTTTATTCCCGTGACTGACCCTGCCCACACCCTATTACGAAATCTATAAGTGCAACAGAAATCAAACAAATGTGGATGTGTTATGTATAGTCCAGTATTGAATGGCTAATTTAGTGCTACTGCGGTGCCGACAACGCTTGCGCGACAAAAATAGCCAGACTCCTAAGGTCGCAAATGTTTATAGAATTCAGTGTAGCAGTTTTGTGTACAAAAAAAATTATGTAAGGGACTCCAGAATTCTCTTTTCCAGTGGACAACGAATGAAGTGAACTATGCTGATCAAATGGGGTGATACAAAGCGGAATGCAGAGCAACAACAGTAACGTGTATCCCAAAAAAAGCGACGTAAATATAACCAGCTTTAGGAAATTATCTAAAAGCTCATTAACGATAAATGTAAACAAGCTGTTCACATAAATCCAAATCGTGAGCCACGTTTAGGACTTTCACAATTCAATTCAGTCACAATTTCGCTGAAAGAAATCAATCGCTACTTAGAAAGAACACTCGATCGATGTGAGATTTAAGTTTGAGGATTTCTATATTGAGACTGAACAACAACGAGTGTAGATTTTTATCCTACACACAGCTATTACATATAAACCTCGAGAAATCACTGTCATAGCATAATTAGCAGATGGAAGTGTATACCTTAAGCCAAGCGTAGGTCTAACTTCACATGAGCAATGTCCAAAAGGCTTCCTTGCTTCAAAAATAATTTTTTGACGAAACGAAAGAGCTGATCAAAAGCTGGTACTTGTAATGAAACAAGACCGAGTCTCTCAAATCAGAACCGCCTAAGAATGCCAGAGCCAAAAAGTATGATAGGCAAAATGAAAAATGAACTACCTAATTTTGATTACCATTCAAACAGCTCCATTGTATGGTATTTTCGCACCAAATCCCAGCAAGAACTTAGCAATGTAACACCCAAAAAAGTCCGATTGAGTTCGTATATACAAATCGCCTTTTAACTCGAGATAAGACGCATAACGCGTTATAAAAAGCATTCACACCTAGAGAAGTTCTGCAAACAAAAATTATCTCTTCGCAAAGTACAAAAACGAAAAAAAAAGAACGAAGTCGTAAAAAAATTCCTGCATTTTCATATTTTGGACTAAGCAAATTGGCAAAAGGATTCAGACCGAACCTCATACGTGAATTCGAATGATGAGAACACGTAGATAAAAGACTTTATGACTGATCTGTGTAACTGCACATATTGCATCTGTAATGTGTCATCTCTAACCGAACTCCGGAATTATGGATTTCGCTCCAACTCATAATATGGTGGTCATGACAGAGTGGTCAAAATCAGGACTTTCCCCAATTTTAAGGAAAAACTTGTTAAACCTCCATTTTATGCTTTTCGTACTCTCTCGCCATCACCCGTCACGCTTTACATTGGCAAGATTCCGCTTCCACATGAATCTAGGGGAGGATACACTCATACCGAGCCTCGCAAGGGCCATGGATAGGTGTACGCATAAGCTGGTGCATACGAAGGTGCAATATTCTTTACGTACGGTATACACCCAACTTCCATCGGCTGCGAGATAACGTGCTCCAAACAAATACACTAACGGTGAGGATACGCGCGCGCTGCGTTCGCGGCGGCTCATTTAATACTGCTTCTGTGCCTTCGACAAGCAGCAGCCTTTAGTTTATATACTCACCAGCATATCTTCTACAAACGCCATACCCATAAAGAAATCTTACCGAAACTGAGTACCGTTTTTGTGCCAACAAGTCTCTTGTGGACTAATTTTCAATCACATCTCAGTTTCGATCAGTTCAAAGTAACCAAGCCGCTATCAAACAGAACGGGCACCTCTTCCATGAGGGTGGAGGACATTAGGTCGCCGAAAGAGGGCGGTCCCCGCGGTCATTTGCGACAAATACGCACCCTTGTACATACGCAGACATGCGTTACTGCAGGGAATCCGCGCGGGACTCTTCCAAATTCGGCGACCTAATGTCCTCCACCCCTTCCATGAACAGCACGCTTGCAAGATAACTCACCTAGGCCAGATCTAATAAGAAAAACCAATGTTGAAAGTTCAGAGTTCGAAAGCTAAGCAGCAACGATTTTTATCGTACGTCAATTTGCGATCTATAGAACCTGTCTATACATCATAAACAGACGCCTCTCAAATGATGTGAACCTTGCGACTATCAGGACAATGATATGACTAACGGGCAGTCTTCCAGGGTACTCGTGCACCTTAGTGCAGTAAGAGGATAACAGATTATATCGTGACTGATAATTTATGGTGTGAAATACTGAGAGTTCATGATAACTTGGAACAACTGGTGTTCAGGAATCCCAAAGACAAAGTTCAACACCGAGGTTTTTGACAGAGCACGAGATCAAGACCAATCTCACGAAATCAAAATTTAAACCAGGAGCGCGCAAATGACGTGTGGGTCTAGTTTCAAAGCCAGAAACTCAACCAAATCAGCCGCTCACCTCAAGTACGTTACATCCTTGCGCGAAATAACGGGTACGGGGGTTGTCATAGCGAATCTGACGCTAGCCCGCAGCAGCGAATGTCGAGTCAACAGCGAACACGCTATCGGCAACGAGCGCATCGACGGCGAAGTGTCGACGTGCACATGACAGCCGCGCGCGACGTGCTCCGCGGCCAATGCGCTGCTCGACGGCCACGAAATTCGAACTTTCCACGCGGTGATGTGCAGGTTCTGCGCGGAGAGCGCGAAGCGGGCCGTTCGAACCGAGGCGGGTTCGCGCCTCCGCCGGGGCCCCGTGCGGGCCGAGATCTCTCGCGTGCACTCTGCTTCTCTGGCCGGCAGCGACACTCTCCGCGAGCCGCGGCCTCTCTCGCCCCGTCATGCAAGGCCCCGGCCGCGTATCGAGCCCGTCGCCGACCGCATCGCCGGGGCTGACTGTGTCGTGTCGTTGCTCTTCTGAAGCCCGTCTGCCCCTGTTGGAGTAATAGCCGTCATCGCCGTCGCCGTCGAAGCCATTCCTTGCCTATTCATCCCTTTTCGCGCCTTTTCCGATCGCATTTCTAACAGTTTTTCGCTCTTTACAACCGGCTTCGTTTCCACTTCGACTGCCATTGTGAAGTTCATCATTCGCTTGTGGATGGCAACGGTAGTTTTATGATGAAAAACACCTTAATCCGGTGTGTCTGTCGCATTTCTAGTCTTCTCTTCCTAAGCGTGGTGGGTCGCTTCTATATGGTGACATTTTTGATTTCTTATTTGATGACGCCATCGCATCTTGCGTTGAGTTCAGTTTGCTCTTTTTTCTTTTGTTCTTGATCGCAAAGACGAGAACAATGTATCATCATTGATTATAACCGAAAACCATTACAAATTTCACCACTTTTTTCGCATTGCTCATTTTGTTTTGCGCTTTTCCGCCGCATCTGCACCGCTTTTCATCTAACTTCGCAGTAATAAGCTCTAAAGTTTTATCTGCTTCCTAGAATGTTTTTGCTACGTTTTATGGTTTCCACATGCGCGAATGTCGCATACCTCTATGTGCTCGTTTGCGTTAGTATTTTTTCTTGCTAGCCGTTGTTATGCTGAGTGTGTTCTTTTATATGCTCCAATACTCTTTCCTTTATGGTCTTAGAATTTTTCATTCAAACAATTTTTTTATAACTTAAATCGATAGCCGCATTGAGCAAAGACACAGTTTTTATTTCTGTAGTCTGTCGAATCGAATTTTCGTTACAAACTGTAGTTTTGTTCAGCATTTTTCTTTGGATTTGATAAGTTCCAGATTTGATCGTCAATACTGGAGATAGTTTTTCTTTGATCCTGTGCATTATACTGCCCTGAGATGGTTTTTCTGTGCTATAATTTATCGATCAAAGTAATCCTCCATCAGAGGTTCTGTTTGCATGAGCTGTGTTGGAATTTTGCATGTGTCATAAAAAGTTGCTGGTATTGTTTTTTTGCTTTGAAATCAAAATTTTTGTATACTAGCGGATATCAAAAAGGTTCGGCCGGTTGTGTTGTGCATTTGCACAATTCTGAGCCAAAGTCGCCGTTCACTTTCTTCAGCGTTCTATCAAGCTTGATATTTCAACCTTTGTAACAACTATTGCCGTGTAGCTCTTCAACAAATAAATAAAAAATCAATTGGGGTAAAATTGATAAAAGCATTCAAAATTCTTGAGGGAGTGGGAGTGATCTGCCGTAAACCACCTTGTCTAGAAACCGTAATGCGATAAGCAGCTTTCTTTTTCAAAGAGAGAATTATTTTGAAGTTATCTTTCATCATGGTTCGTTGAATTCAACTACAGTTAGATCATTGAATTGTTTGCGTCATTAAAATGAAATGAAGTTCCAAAACTGTTGTTTACGAGTAAAGAAAAGGTCATTTTTTCGAGAGCAGTTCATTTCTAGGATTTAGTTCTTGTGAGCAGGTAGATGTTTTCCGCTTGTTAGATGTCATCATTTTTTATCATAAAAAGGGGAACTTTTTGATATGTGGCTGTTTACTCTCAGCTTCTCATAATCGATCATGTTCGGCATCTCGACGCATAGTTACGAAAATTTTTGTTGTTGTTTTCGTGATCTTGATCGTCTGGAATAATTGAAGCCTGACAATAATAACTTCCTCCATTCGAATGGCTTTTGGTATAATAACGTCATGCAAGGAGAAGAACTCCAAATAAATCAGTACCGAATCTGTGAATTGTCGGTTTTTCTTCTTCTCTTGTGTCTATGTGCCTGTCTCTGATGCGTTAGACGGTGTGGGCGCCGTCATGTGGGGCTTGCTGAGAGGTTTTGATATTGATCTTAGCGTCGAGATTCCCTACGAATGATCTGTGATCTGTTTGGTCGTTAGTATCTAGTTCATATCCAAATTGTATATTTTTTACTTACAGTTTGTTTATTTTTTTCAAAAAAAAAAAGAAATGGAATTGTATCTAGTTTCACACGTTTTCTGCACAAAGATCAATTTTCCATTGTTCAAGCTATTTTCTTAGTGTGACGATTTGTGCTTTTCTAACTTGTGATAAGGGTCGCGCTCCGTTTTGTGTACTCGTTCCTTGTTTACTGTACATTGATTTCTCACTTGTCAGAATAAGATCTGCAATGATCTTTCGCGCACTATCAGCTCCTTTTCAAATTTCAGTTGCAGCCACATCTTCGGCTGCTTTCTTTCTTATGAAAATTTTTGAGTAAACTATGCTCACCGTCATGATTACGCTTTTTTTAAAGTGTGGGTACCACGAAATAGCTTTTCGTATTATTTTTAGTGAGTACGACTGCGGCACGCTGGCTGAAACAGATCGGCCAATCTGCCCCTTCCATCCATAATTATTCCCATCAAGGCTAGGCTTCTCGATTTCAGCTGGGATTGGAGGTCGCCCTGGGCTCGTTGAAGTGTGCGTCTCTACTACTTATCATTCATTATTTTTTGTTGCATATATTGTGATTTAGTGATGTGATGAGTAAGGTAATTTTTCGAAAATTTCTACGAAAAATTGGTTTTGTAGAACTTTTCGCACTTCTGCAATTTTGAAAATTGAAGCTGATCTTTTCAGAGTGCCATGAATAAACAGTTATTGTCCTGTTCCCTGAAAGGAGGTCGACAGACAACTACGGTAGTTGCATCAGTTGCTGCTGATGGCGTCGATCAGCAGGTGTGTTCTCTTTACTGTTACTCGATTTTAGGAGTGAATATATGGGGCACTCAACATGATTGATGTTTTGGACATAATCTTTTGAAATTGTTTTTCTCAGTAAATGCATCTTACCATTCCGTTGATATCTGGTTTGACAGTATGCACTAAATTCGCTAGCATTCTTTCGCATCGACCGAGATTAAGAACAGCTCAAGGCCTTTTTGACACGTGTTGTAATGTGACTATGCATTAGTTTATATATGTCGGAATGCAAACGCCAGATGCCATAGTCTAGGGTCTTTGTGTTCATAGTCGAACCTTTTTAGATAACAATGACAAGAATCATTTGTCTAGCAAAATCCAGATTCTTAGCTGGCCTTGTTTACCAGTTGCCATATCTCCGATCATATTTCACATAACTTTGACGGATTGTAATAGTAGTAAACACAATCTAGATCTTCAAATTTGGTTCATTTTTACAGGTGGAAGTGTCGTATTGTGACCAAAAGGTGGTCGGAAATGGCTCCTTTGGTGTGGTGTTCCTCGCGAAATTGCAGGAAAATAATGAACCAGTTGCAATCAAGAAGGTGCTCCAGGACAAGCGGTTTAAAAACAGAGAATTGCAAATCATGCGAAAGCTTTCACATCCGAATATCGTAAAGCTAAAGTAAGTTGTGATTTTCTCTGGACCATATTACTCACTTCAATATCTGTTTGAGTTGTTTGAGGTGTTTTCGTGCCCAAAGCGATATCCCTTTTTTGAACCTCTAGAAAACATTTTTATCGTTTGGACTAGTGAAGACACCATAAAGACTTAATTCAAGTCTTCGGACAGATTTGTGTTGTTCAAAAATGTCATGTTCAGGTACTTCTTTTATTCTGGTGGAGAAAAAAAGGACGAGTTATATCTAAATTTGATATTGGAGTATGTTCCGGAAACAGTGTACAGGTAAGAGAGATCTTACGTTTTACATCTATGGAAATTTGGGTGAGGAGAGGGTCTGAGGGTTTCTTTCTGTAGCTTCGTCGCACTCAAAAATTAATCAGTATTGATTTCACTTTCACGGTGCTTGAATCATATCATGAGTCGGTAACGACAGGCAGGCTGATCTCGCTTTGCACATGGGCAGTAAGGGCAAAATCTTCTTAGGCGGTGTTTTGTCACGTGAACCGAAAATCAGATCATTTTTGTGCGATTCTTTACCAGCAAAAGATTATAGCACCTGTCTTTTCCATGTAGATCGCAACTTTGAAGAAACGATGTAATTATCGTGATGTTGACTACATCTGACGTACCCCTAGATTCTGGATCATAGTTTTCTGATTCTGTTCAGGGGCAGTATACAGGGTATCCCAAAAAGATGTGCACACTGTTCAATCGTAAATAGCTCCCTTGCTTCCATGTCTTTCGCCGAGCTCAAGGTACCATTCTGTAATGGAGGTTTCAACTTGTATTTACGATAGAGCGAATCATCAATCACTCTTCATTACTGTAGGGTCATGGTATGAACTTTTAGTATACAGCTTCGCTGTGGATTAGGCTCTTGATGAAATAATTCCAAAAAAAAACTGGAAATTTATGTGACGAGGTTTGCAGGCGTGCTGATTTCACTATAATTTTCTGTCAGTTTTTCGAACTTTTCTAATGGGGTAATCACATTTCTGAGGAACATCGGAAAAACAGTTGATATCTACCTTAAGCTTGAAGTAACTTATGAAAGAAGCATTACAGTAAAGTGCGAATTTCATATTTAGAATCAGCTATTTGATTAGCCCAGTACAAGAGTGTCTGGCTTGTTTGGGTTTCTTTCTGAGGCCATACATTGCTTTTGATGGCTCAAAATCCTTCTCGAAGATCTTATTGTGATCATACAGTAATGAGGAGAAATTGACTAGTCGCTTCATACTGTAAATTTAATTTGAATCTCGCTCTACAGAAAGATACCTCAAGCTCGGCGAAATACTTGAAAACAAGAGAGTTGTTAACGATCAAATAGTGTGCACATCTTTTTGGGACACCCTGTATATATCAAAAATAGATTGTTTAGTTGCAAGAGATTGAGTTGAAGAGTAGACCTTGCACTGGACAAAGATCTCACATCCTACGCAATTATGCACAAACCTGATGGAACTTGAACTCTTTATAATCCCCTCTTATTTAGGGTAGCTCGCCACTACTCGAAACAGCGGCAATCTATCCCATTGATATATGTGAAGCTGTATATGTACCAGGTACGTGTTCTTCAAAAATCAACTTTACATCGTGAATTGCCGTCAACTTTTTATGTCAGCGGGGGCATCACCCTCTTAATATGATCAAGTAATCGACATATTGACTGCTGTACTCAGCTTGAATGGTGCTCGATCTTGCATACAGATCTAGGTTATAGACGTTTGAGAGATGTAACTGGTGTCTCTGATGGTGGTGTTTCTTGCCTCTAGTTTCTTAAAATTTTCTAACGGGATATATGGTCACAGTCATGTTTCCCAGTTTAAAATAGAATCGTTCTCCCATCAACATGGGTGATGTCAAAATTCTGTTTCATAGTAGACAGAATTATCGAAAATTGCTAATCATAAGCGAGGGCGTATTTATGACCATTCTACGCCTTGGCAGTCTGTAACTCTTGGAGCAATTCTCGCTTGGAATTCATCCTTTGCAGCGGGACATAAGCAATGGGGCTCCGTTATTATGCAGCATTGAAATTCCAGCGGTGGTGCTTGATGGTGCCATCGAAAAACTCCGCGATACAGAATTTTGCTCATTTGGAAATAGTAGACTGAACGCGAGGGAGGAGCCTAGTGCTTGATTCGACACAAATTTCTCTGATAACATGGTTTGAAAGTCCAGTCGACTCCTGTAAAATAGTACTTACTATCCTATTTCCGTGTGCACATGCATTCTAGTGTACCTTGATTGCGCTAGGAAGCGGATCTGATAAACCACCTTAACTGTACGCTAAGCTGCATGCACATCGGGAACTACATCTAAGATTTCAAATCTTTTGGTTGGCCGGAATCTCTTCCTATATTTTTTGAGAACACGAAAACGATAAGCAAAGAATCATCATTTGGTGCAGCAAGGTAGAATCACAATCGGTGTCAATTCCGACGATATATCTTTATGACTGGGCGTTCGTGAGCATCCCTTTGTTGGATAAACGTTTCCATTGAGTCCTTCATCTTTGAATTATCGTCTTGCGAATGATCAACGAGGGCTAGAAATTTTTAGGTTGAATCAATCACCCAATAGTGCATACCGCTCCTACTTGCAGATGCTTGTTGATGCTAGAATTTGGTTCAGAAACTTGTGGGAGAAATTTTATAATTGAATACTTTATCGAAAATAGTTGTGTTGTAGAAGTAATCCTCTTTCGTTGGGCAAGAGTACTTGAGCATTTTGCATACTGCTTCTCTTCTTCAGTCTACAGATTCTCTTTCGTATCCACGTCTGTCCTCTTACTGTTTGTTTCCAGCTATTTCGGGCCTTAGCGTATATCCACGGAATCGGTATATGTCATCGAGATATCAAGCCGCAAAATCTGCTCATTGATCCGGAGTCAGGCATCTTGAAACTTTGCGATTTTGGATCAGCAAAATATCTTGTTAAGGTATATAGTTGACTGAGCCCTTATGGTCATAGTTTCCTTCTAATTCACATTTTAAGGGTGAACCAAATGTATCGTACATCTGCTCTCGGTACTATCGAGCTCCGGAGCTCATATTTGGAGCCACGAATTACACAAATTCAATCGATGTATGGTCAGCAGGCACGGTGATGGCAGAGCTTTTACTAGGACAACCAATCTTTCCCGGTGACTCGGGTGTTGACCAACTTGTCGAAATCATAAAGGTATTTGCTTTCTCGATAGGGATGTTGTTATAGTTGTCCGTGTTTCGTTCTGTACTCTCGCTTTGCATCGAGTCTAAAATACGACAACTACGACATCATCTTTAGCTTGTTTATTGATTTAGTGCAGTCGAAAAATTAAGTTTTGATAGGCATCGATGTATAAAAAATGTATAACATTGCTTTATAGGTTCTCGGAACACCAACCAAGGAACAGATACAGAGCATGAACCCAAATTATAAAGAGTTCAAGTTCCCTCAGATCAAAGCTCATCCCTGGGCAAAGGTAGTGTTACATTTGCATAATTTTGCCATATCATATGGGATCTCGTTTTACTTCATTCTTACTTATTTCCGTTGAATTTTGAGATTATTTTTCTCAAAGAGCTCAGTTACTTTCCATATTCCCTTCTTTTTGTTATCTTGGTTTTCTTTGAAAAAAAAAGTTTTAATTCATCTGTTTTTAGTCGAGAGTTTTGATTCTGACCTGTTTTCAATCTTACTGAATTTCATTCTTTTTATATTTGAATTACTTTCGAGTTAGTTCGGTCTAAATTAGAAATTTACTCAATTAGATTCCTTTCGGTTTTCATATCCATTTTATCGTTTTCTTTACACACGAGAAGGTTCCTTTTTTCGTTTACTATACGCCATTCATCAATTAGCGACCCACGTGCTTTCAAGACATTGTTTTCTTTACAGGTGTTCCGTGCCAGCACTCCGCAAGAAGCCATCGATCTTATTTCGACAATTATCGAATATACACCTAGCGCAAGGCCTTCACCTCAACAAGTGGGTGCAATCCGTTCAGTGTGGAACTCAATTTAGCCCCCATCATTACTCGATCTTTCTTTCAGGCATGTTTACATGCGTTTTTCGATGAACTACGAATGCCAGATACGAAGCTTCCGTCTGGTCGTCCGCTACCTCCCTTAGAGATGGATGGTGATGAAAATCGCTCGGGTCATGTTGGGCATGACTCTGCGGCTGAGCAAAGCTAGATCATGTTTCTGTTCGTGTTTAATCTCTTTATGCCCCCTCAAGCAGCACGGGCCATGCTCCTCGTGTCTGGTCTAGCTCTTCTGTCGACATTTGGATTCAAGATGACCCCACCTTTGCTCCGTTCACAGTTGGCACGAGTTGTTGTCAGCCGTTTCTCTCACCTCGTGTCGCTTGTCGAAGCCCTTTTAATTCGTCAGTTCCCGATGAATCGTTCGTATTTCTTCGTAAATGTGTGTCCCTTGCTTGGCGACGCACATTCTCTTGTACATTTCCTATTGTTTGCTCTTGTCTCTCCCTTTCAAATTCGCTCTTCATCTCGTTCATGGTTTTCCCTGAATCACTCAGTCTAACAGTGCTGAATTTTGCTAGCCAGGAGCGAGAAGCAGTCTTAGAGCGCGTTTTCTAATCACAGTCCCTCGATCGTTTAGTGTATATAAGTACTGATGTTTTTGGTTGCGTATCACACACCATCCATCCATCCTTAAATTATCGCGATTCTTTGTTTGTGGAGTCTCGTCTATATCTTCGCATCGTTATTATATTTACGCGGTGAAATGCTCTATCCCGAACCATCCTTGTCTCTGTTTCTTCATCTCTTCCATTTCCTAGTAGGGTCGGTGGTGTGAGCTGCTCCCAGCTTCCAAAGACTGTTCATTTTTCATTTAGAGCCATAGAGAAATCTCTCTTATCGTCCCGAAAGGTCATGAGTGAGGCTATGTCGTGTATGATTTGGCTCATAAACATTAAATACGTTAAGCATCCTAGTACATTTTTCTCGTTAAGCATGAATGTGATAAATGTTAAGCGCACGTCGGGAATCTTGTCATTGTACATCTTATCATTTCCTGTTCTTGAGATTTTCAAGAAAATATATGTGCTAATGGTCAGCCTATGCACAGAAAAGGCAGTACACCGGGACGGAACCATATTCACAGACTTTTGTTCTGAAAGAGGTATATGATTCACAACTTGTGTTGAAATATCTGTTCGAAGCAAGTACAAGTTACCTGTTTATGACAATAACGCAGAAAGGCTGGAGAGGGCTTGCTCGGGAATTATTCAACACTGCGGAAACGTAGTAAACATTGATTTCGAGAAGCATGGGTTGTTAATTCAAATCAGCCAATTTAGGCCACCATAACGACAGCACGGTTCAATCTATTTGCTGGGTCGCTTCTCACACATTTTTTTTAGATCAAAAATTTGCAAATTCTCGCTTTTTTTCAATGAATACTGCTTTTTTGTCAAGACTTGTTGCTGCGAAGAAGCGATTTTGATTTTCATGTAAACAGACAAGGGACCTATTTTGTTCCAAGGTTTCAATCATATGCAATCACTCTGTGAAGCGCAACGATGTGGGTAGTGCTACAGCAATAAGAATGAGTGGATTGATGACTTCCTTTCTGGTAGAATCGCGTGCAGCTGGATAATGTTAGAAGCAGGAGAGCAGGAGTAGAACCTATGCTTATTCAGCCTAAGGGCTAAGGCATTTGGTCAAATGCTCCTCAAACTACAGCTTCAAACCGAAGTACCGTTTTGAGATTTTGACAGTCTGTAAGGGACCCGTCATGCTTCGCCCAAAAGCGCCCTTTCTGGCGCTTTTGGGTTTTTTTGGTGAAGTATGGCAAAGTAAGATGAAAAATTGAAAATGTATCAGGTTAGGGTCTCCCTTTCAGTCCAAACACAACAAAGTATACCTTTGACCGGATTAGTGCGTGCTCGTCAGAGTTTAATCAAAAAAAAAATTGCGGATAAGACTTGCCTGAACGTTACCTGCAAGACCACATCCATAACAGCTAATGCAGCATGTTTCGTACAGGATACAGCTAGAATTGGTGAGCAGTAGCTATGTTGCCGAGCGCCTATGCAGCTCTGTTCTCGTGTTGGGTAAACCTTACAAAGAATTCTGCCGAGAAGGTGCCCATATCAATTTACTCTGTGACCATGGTCTCACCGGTCAACTCTCCACTACATAGCAATTCACTCGCTGCTTCCGCCTAGAGCAATGCTCTATGGTAACTCATGAAGGAGTCTACATCTGACCACTTATAGATACCATGATTAATTTATGTGGAAAAGCTGTACGGTTCAATTCAAAGCACTTCCGGACAAAAGACTTACTTTCTATAATGCGGCATCAATAATCCCTTCCCTCCGTGTCAAAACAAGCATATCATGCAGGAGCTAAAAATGGATCACTAACATTACTCGAGAAGATTTATTTATTTATGTAATGTACTCAACGATGCGCCAAAAACACAAAAATAATAACCAATAACCAAGCATCGATAAATACGGCAAACAGTGTAGAAATTGTCCCAAGAGTGGCCAGGTCGTTCTCCTACAGCAGAAGGTGAAGAACCTTCTACCGAAATCCCGATCACTGCTCCGGACGCGATGTTAGACGCAGACCAGGACTTGGATAACCAACTTAACTCGTGACGAGTCCGCCCGAGACCCTAGGCGTGCGGGAGGAGAATCTCAAGGCAAAATCACCAATCCTCGAAAAATGTAGTATTCATCATGCTTCACGTATAAATAGCAACGAAATCACGGTATTAGGAAGCAAATATTTCATTTCCCTCCATGATGCACAAATACATGATGATCAATGACTTGATATTGGTAACCAAAATTCGCAAAGATAAGCTGCATTCGAGATGAGATGCCGCTAGCATTAACTTATTCCCTTCTGAAGTTTCGAGTTGCAGCATATATTCGCGAAATAAGGTCGATAAATATTAGATTAGGTCAAGCTATCAAAAACAAAATACATTGGTCTGCTATAGCTACAAATTATATCAAAACAAGCGTATTAACGATTGCGACTATCGTACCCCCTCCCAACCATAGTAAGGAGTGTCATGTGTTTCCCTACTCCATTCTTGTTCCAACTGGCTTCTTAGAGGAGCAGGCAAACTTGACAAAGAACACTTCCTCTCATTGTATAGACATCGTAATCGATCCGAACACAGAGTGTATAGACGTGCAGGCACTCGAGGTCCGGGAAACACAACACGTACCTATAAAATAACTCGCGTTGAAAGCGGCTTTGAAGTGCGCACTCGATAAACGTACCTCTTTTGTACTCCCGAAAACATCGACTACAGCGAAAAATAGTTGATCGGCGGGAACTGTACCAAAGTTAGGGCAGATATCAAAGCCGTTTAGCACAACGTGGATTCTGAAATAAAACAGTTACAAAGTGAAATTTTCTTCACTGAACTATGAACGAAGTGGTTTCAAAAGAAAACTATGAATAAATAACAGTCAAACTATACCTAGGCGTCCCACCACTTTTCTCGTAATAAACACCGATTAGAGAACCTTTCTCGGTAGGCAATGACCTAGTGGTCACTGGATTTGGAAACGGAACGATAAATGGAGAAACAGAGAACAGCCATGAATGCGACTCAAGATTTCTGAACGTGACAGATTGGAGTCAGAATACCGATATCGGATGATTGCGTGATATTACCTCAGAGTAGGTCTCGTCTCAGGGTCCAACGTAGTGAGCCCAATCCTCAGATGTCCTGACCATCCTCCCTCCACGCCTTCGATGGATATAAAGAAACATTCGCCTTCTAGAAGAGCTCGTTCCGAGAACACAATACCCTGAATAGGCATGACAATACTCATGATGCGCATCCATTGAAGGAAATGAACATCGAAACGCAAACGTTTTTATTAATTCATGAAAATAAACATTAAAACGCAAACGGAACAACTTGGACTATTGATTCTTTACTCTTCCTGACTTGAAAAGCAAGAAGAAAACTGCACCGCATTTTCAAGCTGGGTCTAGAGGAGAGTAGAGGTATCACAACTAAAAACGCATAAAAGCTAGCATAGCCATTGAGGTGCAAACAATAGCTGTTAACATGTTTGGCTCCGCCCAGATTGCCCAAAAACGCCCAAAAGCGCTCAAAACCACCCAGAGGCGCTCAGATTTCTCTGATGTCTATTCATTCTCGTGTGAGGACATATAAAGTGAAGATAAGTTAGAGAAATATAGGCGCTGATGGGAGCTTTTGAGCGCTTTTGGGGGCTTTGAGCGAAGTCTGGCCGAGGTCACTGAAACGAACTGAAGCGAAGATAACGAACAAAAAAAAAATTGTGGAAAAAATCGAATCTTGCTAACCTTTTCAAAGCTGACACGGCGGAGTGCTCGCCGCCTATGCTCGAGTAACTCGATGTTTTCCCCATGGAAAGGGTGAAAAAGAACTGGCTCTCCAAGAAATTCTGACCGTGAAGTTGAAGGTTCCATACCCTGGAATCAGGCTGTTATTCAAAATCTATTGTCGGATGGACACTCTTAAAACATAAGCACGTGAAATTTAGAAAATGGAGAGGTGAAGAAGTAAGTGGTCAAAAAAGAAGAAAGTTACGACTAACTAGAGTTGCTACTACGGATGCAGTTTATACAGTTTTGGGAATGAGCTAAGAATAAAGAATGAAATGAAGAAAACCACAGATCTCAAGTATCAAGAATCCGTTCTGCTAGGGAAAGACAAAAATCATCCAAATCGAAACACTACCATCTATCTATGACTGTTTCTCCTACAAATTATTACTTCTAGGTACTATAATAATAGGCTAGACAAAAACAGTGAAAGAATTAAGAAGGAGAAACACCGGGCACTGTCTCTACCAACATGAAGCCGTGCACGAACTACAGCGCCCAGCGGCGGAGGTAGGTGCCAGAGTAAGCAAATATTTTGTTCAGCTTCGTTCAGCTGCAGAAGGCGCGCAGAATTAATGTCTGCTGCATAATCTCTACTGCTGCCCATGCCTGCTTCAGCTGCAGGTCCCGCACAGAATCAACGTTAATTCTGTGCGCCTTTTGCAGCTGAATGAAGCTGAACAAAATATTCGCTTACTCTGGCACCTACCGGACAGCGAGCCCAAAAAACGCGCTCCACCGCAGCCGCGAGCGATCGATCAGCAGATTTGGAGCCAGCGCCCCAATTATTGCGAGGCGTCTTCAACATTACAGTCTTCGTAGCCCTAATGGACCATTACGAAAAGCACCAATGCAGTGAGATATGGTGCCAAAATGAAAAAGGTGAGGTAGTGCCTCAACTCATAATCTGATCTTGGCGACCATACTGCATCGAGAAAAACCACCTCACTGCATATACGGCTAGTTTTGATGTGCTTTAGGTGAAAAATTGGTGGGTGTCCGCATCGCAACGGTTCGCGCGGTTCCGCAGCTATGTACAATATTGTGCTGAGATAAGTCTGCGTCTCTTCATTCTCCCTGGTCTTGGCTTGGCAAAACGCCAACGGCTATGCGCTCGCGAATCCTCCAGCGGTGCGCACGCGCTGCTCTACGTACTCAGACAGATACCTCCGGAGCAGAAATGGCAGAGCCGCGGGCTTTCCCCAGCTGAGGATTGCCACTTTGCGCTCCAGAGCCCTGCCATTTCACGCATTTTTGTGCTCCGGGGCTCTCCCAAAAGTGACGCACCTCCGGAGCAGAGATTTGCGCCGTCGCGGGGGGGGGGGTCCATTTGTCCTGTTTGTGTCGTCACCGTGACGTCAAGGTGAATGAATGGGACCCCGCTCCGCGACGCGCAAATCTCTGCTCCGGAGGTGCGCCACTTTTGGGAGAGCCTCGGAGCACAAAAATGCGTGAAATGGCAGGGCCCCGGAGCGCGAAGTGGCAGACTCGCGCCATATGCCCGCAGGAGGTACCCCTTCGACTGCCTGAGTAGGTAGAATGTTCCGCCTATTCCGGGATGAAACCTATTGTAGTCTACGAGTGGCGACTGATGAAAGCACTAGACTTCTTGGCAATTCGACAAGGATTTTAAAAATGTAAAGGGCTGCCAAGGGTGTCGTAAAAGTAAGTATCATTCATTCTCATAACTTTGATAGTCTAGAGACAGGACGTCAAAAGTGAAGGTTGTTCAGTATCTCCCCTCATAAAAAGTGAAGGTTGTTTATAGGAGATCAGAGAAGAAGAAAGACGCAAACATATCAGAAACAAAAGAAGACTCAAAAAACCGGATGAAAACGCTGCAATGAGTTTGGAATCTTCTATCGGCATTTCGAAGTACAGGTTTTCGCTTCCAGCAATTCACAAAGGGGAGAACGAGGGAAAATAATTTCTTTTTGTGATTGTTTGAGAAAGAACAGTGTTTCGGAAGTGGTGATTATCAAGAAGAATATAAACAAGGAAGAAATTTGTTATAAAACGCAAAGGTCCTTTTTATTGAGTTGAAATGCACGTCAAAGCCAAATCTAGTTTGATGCGTCCTTTGAATTTTTACCCCGCACTGACGTTCCTGTTTCTTGGGACGTTGTCTGAATTGCTGTGCTCATTCTTCTGAGCAGTGATCGCTCAAGCTAGAAAAAAATTGCTGTGCACTGAAAAGAACAAGGTAAAGGAAAACGCTTTTTCTACCGTTTTGCACGAAAAAAATCTGGCATAATCAAATTAGCAAGCTTTGGGAGTTGTCTGCGTTATGAATGGAAGCGAGATCTATCGGCACCAAAAAGCTGCTCGAAAAGAGGCGAATAAGAGAAAATCGCCATGACACGACCAGGAGCACTGACACAAAATCACCGCACAAAATCACCCATTGACGCAAAAAACAGCATTTTCGTGCAGGATTTTATGCGCAAGATTTAAGCGCAATCTCGTTTTTATTGACTCCAACAGCCCTCCTGAACTTCACTCAAACATAGCCTGAAAAGAGGTTAACCCTTTCGGACCTGGTGGTGGCAATTGCCACCATCAATTCAGAGATCTACTATACTGGCGCAAGAATATCAATTCACTACTCATTGCTCTCAAACGCTTCATATAGCCTTCGCCTTCCCAAATATAGCTTCGACCGGGTGTTCACTTGCTTCTCTGTGAATAGCAATGTACATTTCTGTAAACAAGTGGATTTCAACCAATCAATAATTTGCGCCGGCTTGAGCACCGTTTCAGTATCTCGTTTATTAGCCAAAAAATATTCATAATATTATCATAATGTTTTAGTACGATGCTGAGCAAATGTAACTGTTAAATGTGTGCGGGTCCACATGTTTCGCGGGAGATTTGAAAATCCAAAATAAACACAAAACCAAAAAATTGAAAAATCAAAAAGAAATAGTTCATAAGGTTAAGCAGACTCCAAACTCCGCTATAATGTTGTTCATATGGTAATAAGTAAAAAACACTAGGAGAGAGGGTTCTCGGCTCACTCGCAAAAACTCAGGTCCGAAAGGGTTAACTGAGATATGTTGTTCTACATTCTGTGAAATTCATACGAAAAACCTTGTTTGTAGCACAAGAAAACTATAGATATAAATTCTTCTGTTTTGGAATATTCTAAAGATATTATTGCATTTTCTTGTTTCGTCCACATATGAAGTCGCAGGCTTCTTTAATAATTCTAGTGTCGTCTATTGTGTCTATCTAATCTTTCTTAGGCGATTTGTGTGTGTCAAATTGGTGTTTCAATGGTTTTACTATGTTTCAATTGTTTCGTGCTGGGACCACGCGATCGGGGGCGCATGCACATCTTCTCGGCCGCTATATAAGGCGGCTCCGCTTGGCTCAAATCAGTCGGTGCTACGAGGAGTGCGGTCGGGTCTCAGTCAAGGAGCCAAGCCGGGTAGGCGTGGACGCGCCAAGCCTGGAGGATCGTTCTTCAATAAAGGGATTCCATCATCCTCTGGACACCACGCCGACCGGAATAGCGCCTAATTTAGGTCAACTATTGCCAGACATAGGAAAGACCAAGTCTTCTTCTTCTTGACACACCTTCATTTCGAGTTGGTCATAGACATAACATCTGGTGCCCCCCCCCCCCCTCCCCACCCGCGGAACTTCCTTTATTTCAAGTGAAGGTTGTGTCATCTTATGCCTATCAAAATGAAGGTTACCAGAGTACATGCCTTTGTGTATTGAGGGTATGCTCATTCTCTAACTAAGAGACACGAGCACGCCTTGCGCCTCGCCCTGACTAGGAGCACGTCTGATTAACGCATGAGTGCGTTTTGACACGTTTTGGATGACTTGCTTTTAGAATTCGTGAAAGAACATGTTCGAGCCCCTTGAACAAGGTGAGTCAAATATATTCTTTCAAGAACTCACATCGTATTAAAGAAAAATCACTAGTCAAAGTGGACTTTCCAGTTAATGTGCATGTAATTTGGAGGGCTTCGAACGCTGATTCCAAATATGTCCTCCCCATAGGTGCGATAGGGGGAGCCGGGCTCTGCCCAGGTGAAGGGGGTCTCGGCTGTTCCCGACCTTCCAGGGTGAAGGGGGTATGTGAGTCTAGGGGAGAATGAAGAGAGAAAAGATAAGAAAGCGTGGTATAAAGAGCTCTAACCAGGGTCAGGCGTGTTGATGCGATCTGGACCCTCAATTACGACCCCCCCACCTTCTCAGATAATTGCGGGGGGCAGGCGGTCCGCAAACTCGCGCTTTTCTGCAGGCGGTCAGCAGAATTTTGGGGCGTGGCCAAACCTTCAGCGGGCGGCACTTCCTTTACTGTTTAATGTTCTGCCAGCGAACAGCAACACAGAATTTTCTGCAGGCGCTCGTCAAATAATCTCTTTCAGCGAGCGCTGGTCAAATTTTCAGCTGGCGCTCGGACGGTTTTTAAGCAGTTTTGGGCGTACGCCGAGCAAAGGTGAGACTCCACATGGCAGAGGTGTCATCGCTGGTTTAATTACTCAAGTTTGAGGTACTTTCTCTCAGCAGAAAGTACCTGGGGGCTGTGCGGTCCTCGAAAATTTTGCATGTTCTCGCGGAAAGTCCGCGAGAATGCGGCCACCGCGCCGCAGCCAATCTATAAGAAAACCACGATTGTTCTCCAAGTATTCGTCTAAAATTTCGCTAAAATTCTTTCAAATATCTGCAAGCGGACTGCAACAAATCAGCGAACTATTTTTCCGGTGCCCGCCGCCCATAAATCGCATGGCCGCCTGCCCCCGGCGATTATCTGAGTTGAAGGTACCCATCCGTACGACCCCCCCCCCCTCTCCCTCCCCCTCCCCCAACTATCCCCCTTACCTCCCCTGCCCATATTTCTCGCGGTAACCTGCATAAATGAATGTCTATCTCAAAAAACACCTGCGTGAGAATTTCAGTGAGGTTCCGGAAGCAGAATTTCTAGGCCAATGGGTGCGCCAGCATCTCTAGCACATATATACACACATTTAATAATGTTTGAGATTCTGCAAGTTTACTTTTGAATTTTCGGGCATACTTCAGGCCAGCAAATTCGATTCCCGTATGCCGACACAAATTTTACACGGAGAACAAAATGACATT